CGTAATCAATTGTCGTAATTGACGAGCTTGAATCGTCGTATGAGAGCGCGGTCACATAATCGCCGAGTTGGGCCATTCAGCGGTGCAATCTCAGCACTCGCATTCACCGCTAATGTTGTTTATGCTTGGTTGCTGAATTGATCTTGAGCCCGGAAGCTTAACGCAATACTGCAGCATCTTGGTTCTGAGTGCTTTAGTCAGCATATCTGCAAGCTGATACCTCGTGTCAACACAGTCAGCCTTTAATCGTCCGTATTGCTCATTCTCACGAATAAAGTGGTGCTTGATATTCACAAACCTCGTCCTTTCATGGTATCCAGCGGTTTTGGCCAATTCGATTGCTCCTTGCACACCACGTGCCTTCATCTTGCTTATGACCCATGTTCTTTAGCATTCTCGCGTTCAAAGACCTTCTTGTATGCACGGAATGAGAGCCATATACTCAGCCTCAAGTGAGCTGAGAGCATCAGCCCGCTGGTACTTCGAATTGAATTTTACGGGCGCACTTGCAATCATAATCATCACTGTCTGTCATCGTTGTTGGTGCCCCAATCTGCATCCGAGTACGCCTTAACTCGAACGCTCCCACTGTCTCGGTATACGATCCGGCTCGGTACGTAGTCTTTAGATAGCGTAATACGCGAATAGCGGCACTCCAATGTTGCAGCCCAAATTCTCCAGAAAACGCGAAAGCTGCGTAGCCACGTATGCAATGTCCAGTCTAGTGCATGTCGTAATGTACAATGGACAACCAATCAAAGTTCGATATGGCTTCGTGTGCATTGTCGAACGCCCATCTTCCGTTGTAGGTGACTGTGACGACGACAACTTCAATTCTGATGCGCACGGGTTATTTACGCACTTGGCATATTGTTGATCAAATCGACTGACCGCATCGTCGATATATCGGGTCTGCTTGATCATAAGCGTCGCAGCTGATCTGTCGTGGCAGATTTCCATTGCCAAAATAAACTCCGCCTTGCCCAGGTATTTTTATCTGAAAGGATTCTTAAGCATTTACCTTACCTGATTGTTCTCCTTTGCTGGTTCTTGCTGCAATAATCATATCATCCACAAAGAGTCCAACGTAGACGATACCTTCTTTGCGCTCTTGAGATAAACGCATTGGGCCGCTCCGCAGCTCTTGAAGCCATTCGCCACAAAGACACGATATATTGTCTTGTTCCGGGCACTTGCTGCTTGCTTCAATCCGTCAATAGCCTTGTTAAGCTGACACACGTAACCTTGAGCGTTGTCGACACCAGGCGGGATTTCCATAAAAACGTTGTCCGTCAGCACGCTGTTGAGAAAAGCCGTGTCGACATCCAGCTGCTCCATTTTATAGTCGCATTCCGCGCATAATGCGAGAGTTACTCGAATCAAATTTACGTTAGCTACCGGGGAGTACGTATCAATAAAATCGACGTCATACTTCCGCTTGAGATCTTTCGCGACCAGTCGTGCCTTGTTCCGCACGATAGCGCCATTCTGATCACGCTTCTTCGCAAAACCCCATCTCAATCTGATTGTGCGACTGATCTTCCTTGTGCTTTCAATATCCATCTTTAATTCTCTTCATGTGAGCGCAACACAGTATCCATTACTTCACGCTACTTTCCTGCATCGTCGCTTGCCATTGCTTGAGCATACGTAGTCGGTAAGTCGGTGTCGTCGTAAATCCTCACGGCGTAAGCAAGAACAGCATCTGCAATGAGTCCATCTTCATTAATTCTAGCATGCTTTGGAATCGGGGGGCCATCACTGCCTTGTCTTGACTTTTCAAAATCCAAGCCGTTTCTCAACATCAGCACCGGCTCACGTCTGTCTCTTGTTCTCTCCACATCAGGTCGAAACACCAAACAATATTTCTCGATTCTCTTGAGACGGTGGATGGTGATTCGCTCATTCCAGCATGTTTTTGATAGAACGCTCAGAAGGCATTTACCGATGGACATCAACGCTTGGCGCTCGCTCGATATTGCCCGTTCCGACATCTATAACTGACTCTTCCACAGCTCCTATGGGATTGCCCATCATTGGCTGTCAATAACGGGACTATATCTAAGGGGGATCAATTACACTTAATTAACAGCGCGGTGGCTAGTAACTATTAATGCGAGCATAAAGCCGCAGTTTTTCGTAGGATATGAGACTGAGCGAAATATGTTGCAACAAAATTGCTACGCGCATAGAACTATGGTTTAAAACCCAAAGAAAAGAAACAAAGAGACGTAATCTCCAGAGTACTATTTTGCGAGACTGCTGTCAGCTTGCAAAGTCAGTTCTAGCGGACAGATAAGGTAAGGTTGACGTTATTGTCATCACGGTTTGATCCAGTGGGCATGCTATAAGGCTGCTAAGTGCCGAAGTCTCCAGCGCGACATCTGTAGACAAAGGAAATTGCAAGTAGAAGGGTCAGCTTCTAACGTGGTCGTCCCTCGTCAGAAATTTATGCCACTGGTGAGTCAGCACTACCGTAATGCGCACTTACCCTGTGATGCAGTGATCGGCAATGAGAAATCATGCTCGTCTAAGGAGTGGCCGGGATAGTTCTGAAAGACACTAGTCTCTCATTTTTCCCTAAGCAGAGATTCGATTGAGCTTGAATCATCGTATTCGAAGATATATTCAGAAACCTCAAGATGGTGATGTTCCACAAATGGTACGGCTGGCAACGGAGGAAGTTTTTCCCTTATCGTCCGTTACGGGTGTGCAAGTCGATGAGGGCACTCGTAGCGATCACCAATTGTGAGAAAAGAGCCAATTAATCTGCGGATCTTTTATATTTTGCTATTTATACGCGGCGACAAGAGACGAACAACCCATATCTTGAGGTGCGACATGAAATGTTTTCATGAATTCTGGAACGAATTTTGTGTTACACCCACTAGGTGAACACTATGACGTCAGACGACTTTTCTGTGCAAAGCACGTGATAGGCGTAGTGAGAGAGGACAAATCGTCACACTTGACGTGAACTATCTGCGTTAGAGAAGCTGAGGGAAGTGGTGAGCTGTCCATACGTACAATACGCTAAATACAGTTCTTTTCTGCTGCAAATATCGACGTGCTGTAATACAACGTTGTCAGCTGCACCGCGTTTTGTTGCTCTTGACCTAGATGATGGGAATTATCAACTGCTAATGAGAAACAGTGACCCACCCATGAGATCTCCGAGCAATATGTTGCTGGTTAGGCTCAATGACTATCCCACAGGGTAGCTTTGCCCAATAGCGCAATAATAAGTGTTACCTCCCCATCGCGCACACGCACACTCATCGAGCCATTTTGATGACAAATTAATTCATTGTCGTACAACGAATGACGATAATGATGCGGGCATCGACATCAGGCTCGTACGAGCAAAGCCTGAGTTTATGCGTTCAAACCATTCATTTACCTGCATCAGCACGTGCATCATTGATGTTTGCCAAATTCCACTTTTGGAATGCTTCATTAAAACGCATGATTTTTATGTGCATCTCGAAGAGATTCATCGGGTATTGGTCAGCTCCACCATCCCAAAATAAGTCAAGGAAGTGGCTGTGCCTGACTAATTACTCGCTTAAGTGCAGTGCAAATGAAGCTGTCATTTTACGAATTCTTGCCATCTGATAAAGATAGATGTCAAATCGTGTTGAGTGCATCAATGCCAGATTCAGATCCTACCAGATCGTTTGTTTTTGTCATCTCTTACTATTCATCGTTTGCCATGGTCTGGAATTTAATTGACCATGCTCTCACGAGCCCGTCTGGTACTTAGCGGTCCAGTCTAGGCAACGTAATTTTTAACAATTATCTGTCCTAAAGTGGTCATACTCCGCATCCGACAGATGATTTGTGTCAGTGTCGGCCGCATGCCGGGAATCTCAAGAAGATTTGATGTGTTGCCACAGCCAAGAGAGCTTGCGAAATCTATCCAAGGAGGATCCTCTTACGCTAAAATGCTTGACGAGCAAGGGGAGCATACTTATATGTAGAGTAGATAGCAGTTCTAGCTTTATCATGGCTATAATCAATGTATGTAGATATGAACAGGATATACTCACTCCATGAGCACATGCCCTGGTGCTCATGACTAACCATACCAGTTGTTTTTCTCCTCGGAGAAGGAGACAGGGTCGCGCAGCTTACCGTATCTTCATTTGTAAGTGCATGCTGGCCATATCTTGAGCTTGCGGCGTCTAAGCTTTGACCAGTGTCAATATCAGTAGGCTCTTCAAAATGAACAAGGCTGTTGACAATAAGAGCGGAAAGCAGTGAGCACTATCGTTTGCGTCGGCATTGTTCTTTCTACTTCGCAAAGTTAAAATGATACAACATTCCAGTCAGATACCCGCTTCACTGCGACTTGAAACTAGTGACGGGACGTGCTTTCGTCACCCAGTGAATGAGTCAAGACGGTACTTTCAGCAGCGCTTAGTACGAAAGGAAATGTACTCAAGGATAATCATGGAGTGTCCAACCGCTGCTACTCTAGTCGCAAGCGGTACATCTCAAGATGACCTTTAAAGCACGTTTCGCTCTTGTTAAAACAGATTCACAAGCAAAGCGTTTAATGATTCTTACCGCGGCGGGACTGGCGACTTTCGAAGGTATATCCATAATCACTATTTAATGTAGTCTTAGGCGACAACAATGGAGGTAGCTATGACGCTTGCAGACTGACGAGCTTAGCTTGCTGAGCAAGATCCTGTCTATTTCTTATGAGCTTGACGTCGTTATGAGCTTTGCGGCCGGATGCCCAAACCCCCTTCGAAGAAGAGAATGAACGCGGAGTAGAAGTTGCATAGAGTGTGGATTCTCTACGCTCCCCTAAAACTCCGAGAGATTTTGTGAATGGGAAACGATCTGATTTTAGAATTGTCAGGAAGGGTGCAGACGCGAGTCGGATCTGGTTTAGTCAGAATGTTTGTTTTCCTCCGAGAACGTCTTGGCTGCGTCACGTAGTATATCTTGAAGCTCGTGGGACCGAATATTCCCCGCTGACTAGCGGAGCCATGCGCGACAAATTGAAATTTGAGGAGGGGTTGAACAAGGTGCACAGTACACGTGGTAGCTGGAAAATGGTCAGTTAAGGGAACAGACAAGCTTTCGGTACATTAGCTATTTTTGGATTTTTTGGTATTTGCGATCGTGTAAAAGACGCATCTATCGTGCCCCGATCCTTGCACATAGAGGCTTTGCTTCAAAGTGTTTACGCTCAAGAAAACTCACCGGATATCTTTGTACGTGAAACCAGGATCAACTCCGAAGGCTTCCAATAATCACAAATCTTGCTTGATCTTTGATCGAAATGACACATCATTTAATTTTCGTGAAATCTAACATATTTTAGATATACTTGTTTTTCTATGTCTTACAAAAACCTATACGTTTTGAACGGCCTTATATTGTTGTCCGCGTGTCCAGTGTTCTTTATGGATTGCTGTCGTCCATACAAAGCACATCGTTGCTTTTTCTGACCTTTAAATAATATAATAAAAGATTTGCCATAATACTGATTTAGCTCGTTTAAGTAAATCAAGCAAAAGCGAACCTCATAACAAAGACTCACTGCGGCCAAAATTATCCGCTTGCACCGTACAGTGTCCGAACTTATAAACATAATCCCATCAGTCTTTATACTACAGGGCGCGCTTTCAACGTCAACCCCCGCAAAGCTGTTCTTGGTGAAACGCCGAGATTGTATTCTATAAGCTTGGTAGCTGGGCTCTCCGGGCCCTGACTCAACACCTCTAACTCATTTAAAGACGGACTACCACGCTTTATACCGAGAAGATGACGCTACTACGCTCTGCCGCTGTTCTGCGCAAGCTGCGAATCCTGTGCTTAAAACCTTTAACAAAAAGTGCTTCGGCAAAAACTGTGGTGCTCAGAACATATATCATCGATAGGCTAAACCTGACTCGAAGAACCAAAATTACCCGTCTATAAGCGCAAGAGTCGCAGCGGTTGTCGACCCAGTCGCAGCAGTCGAACTTACGCATTGATAACAGATATGATACATCAAAATTCAGTCACCGCGCTGCCAGTCGCCTATCAAATTAATTTCATGAGAGTCTTTCAAACCCTCAAATTACCATTCTCCGCGTGTTTGCATTTGAAGCAGCAGCAATCGGGCAAATCCGCACACCTTACTGTTGTACTAAACGCTAAGAAAGTTACTAGGAGTGTCGCACTCACTTTGCGCACTGCTTGCGAAAGGCACATCGTCTCGCCCATCCTATAGTTTTATGTACCAGGCCCAGTGAAGCCGAATTCTGATTGAGGTATCGCTTGATACTTAACATTGCGAAGGACAAAGCAGAATTTGGACGTCGAAATGAATGCTTGCCATATTTATCTCTTGTTATCAACAGCTCTCATTCCGATGAGTCCAGTCACTCGGAATAAACCCGGTTCTCCCTCACTAGTAGGAATCGCGTTACGCTGAGTCCTAGCTCTTCTTCCGGGAAGATATTAACAGTGGATGTGCCAAGGCGTAGGCAGCCAAGATGCGGGATATTCATACCAAAGTGACATCTCAGTCTCACGCGGATATTCAAAACGAAGGTATCCTTTTGCACAGCACCTACTGATTGCAACCCTATCGACCCACCGGTCCACAATGGCACCGCATGGAAGTAGACCACCCCTTGCTCATATGGCTAACCGCCGTAAGACAACCCCTACCCGGCTGACTTTGTGGCGGCTCGTCGACTGTCAGCAAGGGATTTGATGTGCGCCCGATTCGAAAACGGATTATTGGAGGTCCCTTCTTTGCTATGTCATCGTACGGAGAAGCTTTCGGCACCTCATTGAGTTTGGGTTCCACATCGCTGCCTTTGAGTAGAAGGTAGCTCATGTACAGGGAATAGCTACAGCGCTTTTTCGGCTCCAACAGAGCACAATCATATTTGAGTGGCTCGAGAGGGGAGTCGCGGTATCGTTAGAAAAAGCTCGCGTGAATTACAGGCTGTGCGCACATATTCATCGAAAATTTGATCGTGAAGCAAAATATTTCTTTACTAAGAACATAAACGGTTCGATATAGCGGGTTCGCAACTCATGCGAATTCAGATTGACGGCGTATTATAAAAGCTTTCACCAACTACAGTTTCATATTTTCTTTATCTATCTCTGGCATGGGATGTTGCGCTTGCAGAATTTAAACCTCGTCCATGGCGCTGTGCATTCAGCACATGACAATTTATTTATTGCAATAAAATATGTGACTTCCTTATGAAGTGTACCCAGGTCTAGAACAGCGGTTCATATTATTTCGATTGCCCTTATCCCACCAAGAACAAAGCCACTTCGCTGAGGGTGTGAGGTTTACACGGGGTTAATCAGTCCGTTCATATCAATTGACTTCGAAAATGTAGAAGTACTCTGCCATTCAACAACCCAGTGTGTAGGAGCAATTTAATCCACCAAGCGGTACCTTCGCGCAAGTGCCTTTGTAGGTCATTTGCCACCACGCAACTAACACGTTCGGTTTGATCGTCTGTCTGCGAGTTATTAGTGACTACAGTTTCTTACCTGGTGATCAGCATCTTTAACAAAAGTCTTCATCTGCAACTAGACTTAACGACAAGTTACGTCGAGGAAAATGTCGAGGAGCTGCATGGCTATATCTTACCTGGTAACGTTGATGTGATCTTAGCCATTTTGCTTCAACGGTAGACGAAGGCCGCAATACCTGTCGTACCAGATATGTGTTTTGATGAAGTAAGATCAATCCATATCAACAGATTGCCAAGATTGTACTAAAGCCGAGAGACCTACCTAAGGCGTCAACAAGTGGGGCGAGAATGATATCATCCTGGCACGTTCTCCACGCTCAAAAATACACCAAAGCATATACGGTTCATTAAGTTGCAGTGCTTACTGGGCCGTATGTCGGTTTCCATCCAGAGTGGACTACAACGTGCCTCGGATACTACCCCAAAGTCGAGGTCCTTAACATGGAGTACCACACAGGTTGAGTGTCATGTGTGTTGGTACTGCATACAACAAGCCCTAGAACAAGGAATGACAGTGGTTATGTGCAGTTGAACACTTTGTTTAAGCGATATCCGAGTTTTCAAGCTTATAAATCTTTAATCAAGGAAACACATGTTGCATCTGACTCGCGCGTAATTATTGTAACATGCAATAGCTCACAGTCTAGGCAACTTGAACGCGCACCCGCAAATACTTTAAGCCGACACGACTTGTACTTTGCCTTAGATATATACTCAGCAAACATGAATAACCATCTCGACATTCGTTGCGAGAGACATCGCTATGCGCAGCAACGCATGAGTTATATCGATAACACATAGCTTAGGAGACAGGGAAGCGTACCAGAAGACGACAGGAGTATAAATCACAGTAACAAGTGCTTTGTCATAAATGGACTATTGATTTCGAATGATTTATGATATCCTAGCACCATATATCGCTCATGTCATCGATATCTACTTGGAGTAAACCACTGCCTATAGCAAAGGCGAAGCACCACAGACGACATGAATATGCCGATAGGCTCAGAAGATCCAGATTCGGGACGCTCTCATGGCTTGTTCCATAGACATGTAGGCCCTTACCCCTGCACCATTTGACATTACTTATTAAAGCTAAAGGGTCATGCCATGTCGGTGTAACTTACATTATGTTTGCGCGAGTCATTGGTCGTGCCAAGCCATTTCTAAGCGCTTCATAAAGCCACAAACTAACTGGCGATGTTTTTCCTTTCTCTGCATCTATCTGTAGACCATTTTTGCAGCTAACCATTCAGCGCCAAATAGACACGTGTATACATCGACAAACAGCTAGCTGAAGTGCATTTGCTATAGTACTGCTCGCAAGTAGGTAAAGAATTTCTCTATGTTTAATTCAACGTGCTCGCATGACTTCAGGGAAATACATTGTCAAAATAGACTTCTGCAAAAATGTGACGCGACCTAAACAGCATTCCCGCCGGTCAGTTTGATATTGCTCGTTCGTTAGACAGCCAATTTGGTATTCACCACCTACTCTCAGTTCATTCCGCTTGGTGTTTGAGATGTCTCTCATGGAGAAATGATAACGACAATCTGCCGGGTCAACATCGCTGATCAAGATGCAACCGTCCATGCTGTCTCAGCACATAGGAATCGGCGTTTCATCCAAAAAACGCTTGCTGCATTTAGAATACAATAATCATAGAAATTCGTCGCTTGTCGTTTCATTTATTAGTGTTGAAAATCGGCGCCGGTTGGAGAGAGATACGTTCGTCGAGCCCACATTGGGCTTGGCGCTGAGAAAGCGTTTTTGTTTTACTGCTGTCCCCATGACCGGAGAGATTGATATGTGACGCAACATTTGATTCCATAAATAGTCAGTTTTATGATGCATCGATCTGGCATGTGGTCTCTCATCATCGCGTCGTCATAAAATATTCAACAGACGATAAGTTTTATCAGTTAGATGCTTTAAGGATGCTGTCATGCTCCTCCCTAACAGTGCTCCGCGATGTCTTTTTAAAGGAGCACGTTATGCCGGGTGACGTTCTCAGCTCTCCTCCGGCACCATCTTTGCCATTTTGGTGACCTCACCGTTTTAAAAAATGTACAAACGTATCCTGAGAATAATTTTTTTAGCTCAGGGGAAGCCTCTGCTGTGGTAATGGGGGAATTCGTCGCCTCTATGTCTACACTGCCATGCCTTTCGCGAGTAACTATTTTTTTCCAGCCACAAAATTTGAGACTACATTTTACCGCGCTGTGCACACGATAGTTCTGACTTTGCAGTATCGTTACATTGAAACGCGAATACGCCGGATTTTGCAATCCATGATCTGACCTTCCACGCGCGACTTATCGTCACCCGTAGTGTACCATGCACCTACGTGAACCCTTCGTTTTCCCGTGGGGGTTCGTCGGATGATGATTCTGTGTGGCAACTTTGTCCTCCATGTTTCCGAGCCAAGAGACATGCCACAGATGCAACATCCGCTAGATTCAGAATGCTGCTTGGCCTAAACCAATTAAATCTCCTTCATCCTGGCATGGGTAAAGTTCATCGCCTTCGGCGCAATGGCACAACTTCTACTTCTCGCTCTTCGTCCGACAGGGGTTGCTACTCGCATTAATATGACACCAACTACATCTTTGAACTGTGAAAATCTCGGTGCAAGGCGCACCTGTCAGGAGACACCTCCTGAAGGTGCAAGTGTTTAATGCGGATCTGCGGGTATCTTAATGATTATCGTTATTCGGTGATGGGCATAACCGGCTAAATGTCGCCGCTCGACACATGTGTACAAGAATTTGGAATACACACGGTTGCCTGATTGAGCGGTGCGAGCAACCACTACACCTGTCGCTCAAACACTGCCGCATAGATAATACAAGAACTGTGCGTATCCAAGTTTGTACGTAACATTATGAGCATGTATATTCTTTATTTTCTTCGGATCTCCGGCTCTTAAACGTACCGTAAGTAGAAAAATAGTTCAGAAACAAAATTTTGAAAGCTGAAAGCAATTTCGTAAATCGACTTTATTTGTTGACAAAACGGAAAAAGTCATGAGCGTGGCGACAGCGCCCGACGAGTTAGTGTTACAGGGCTATCTACACAAACAGGCGTGCTATATTCCGCTTCAGAGTTACCTTAGTAGATTGTCTGATACTGTGTATTTGTTGCCTCTGTAAACAGAGCAAACATCTTAAAATTTGGCGCATTCGCTATTTCGTGCTCACAAAGGCAAGCAACTGAATTTGCTGCTTTTCTAGCGAGAAATTATTTAGCTGTGTGCAATATTGTCACCTGCAGAAAGAACTTACATACTCGACTAAATCTGGTCGCAAGCCCCGCCTTTTGCTGACTATGGGACAAATTCAAGTGGTGCGTGCACATTAACGTAACTAGGGCCAAAAATCTGCTGCTCTGCTTACTAATATGTGGTGTAGATAGACGATCAGAATCTGGTATACCATTCAGGTAATTACGTCTTTCTCTTGCAGACCCGGACGAGAAAGCTGTTCCTGAGTGCGACGACGGAGCAGGAACGCCGCCGATGGGTTGCAGAGTTACGGTTGCTGCTACCTGAAGCTTATGATAAACTGCATCGGTCGATTTCAGACTCAAGCAATGCTGGACAGAAACTTTCCAGTGCTGTTAAGACTTATCCAATCATAAAAAAGTATCACAAACGCGTGTCTAGAGAGCGACGTGTGGAGCGAAAACGACAACAGCTTCCGAAACTGAAGCGGACGTTTACTGAAGTTTGGTTAAATGAAGTGTTTACTTGGCCGAGTGGAAGCACACGCGATGAAGTGCCATTGTTAGACGCACTTTGCTTTGCAGGTATCCCAAAAGAGCTTCGTGGGCGTGCGTGGGCGTGGGCACTTGGAAACACGCTTCAAGTTAATGAAGACTTATTTCAAATATGCAAAGTGCGAGCACAGGCCGTGCAGATGGAAATGTCCTTGAAGCGAGATCTGGATCATACCGTGGTTAGATCGCTGACGATCAGCTCTGAGAGCGAAAGTGCTATGCTTGAGTCACCTACCAGAAGTATGTCGAGTGTAAGTAGTGCATCATCTGCCTCTGAGCTCGACTCCGAGGATAAAGAAGTACCCCGATCAGATCGACACGTGAATGATATCTTGGAGGGCACAAATAATTTGTCAATAGCGAAAAGCAAACCAACAATTGCAGTTTCGTCTACACCAGATATAAGCGATAAAAGCAAAAAACGAAGGTCATCTGCAGTTTTGCCTGTGCAAAACATGCTACAGGATGCCGTTGGGATCGCCGAAATGCTCGTTGCCCACGGAGAACGTAGCATCAAGCTCGTAAACGTTGACATGCCACGAACTTTTGGGCACCACCCTCTGTTTCAGCCTGGTGCAGAGGGTACTAAGCGCACCACTGAGGTATTGGAAGCGTACATTTGCTACCGTCCCGACTTAGGCTATGTCCAAGGGATGAGCTACTTAGCGGCAACTCTGTGTTTTCACATGGACAGCTTCACTGCCTTTAAGGCCTTAGTCGCCCTTATGAGTTCAAGCCTACTTTTTGACATGTTTCGTTTAGAAGCGACGCGAGTACGCGAAAGTATAATATTTGCTGTGTGAACCAAATCAGCTTATGACAACGATATTGTTTTTTCTCGAAGACATTCCATTATATTGACGTGTACAACAAGATATTTGAGTACGAGCTGCCAGTCTTGGCCGCGCATTTTGAAGAAATCGGTATCGATGCACAGATGTATGCTGTCGACTGGTATGCTAGCCAAATACTACTTGATGTGCTTGGGCGCTAACAGGATTTGTATAGGGCTCTCACACTCTTCACGCGGAGCTTGCCATTGGATCTTGCGCTTCGTATTTGGGACGTTTATGTTCTTCTCGGTACGCCGTTCTTCTTCCAGGCCAGCATGGGTACGGACTGCATACGCTTGTTGTACAATAAGAAGAGTACAAGCCGATTCTCTGACTTGACGTGCTTGTGTAAAGGTCTATTATCATTTTTTCAAAATTCTTTGCTGGCCATGGAACCAGAAAACGTCATGCGACTGCTGCATACATTTCCGAAAAACACATCGTCTAGACAGCTTTTCGATTCCATATCATCGGTCAGTCTGTCGTGCGACGAGATCACGGTGTTGTTGGCCGGAGGGAAGCTTTGGTCACCCGATGAGAACCGTGAAGTGCCTGTCAAGTTTCCCGAGACATATGAATGAGCCGAGCAGCCCACTGAACTTGAAGAAAGTTACGAAACAATACCAAAAGTACTCTAGCATATGTTTGCGCGAGTCGGCTAGGTCTTTCAAAAAACTTATCAAGAGTTTGAAATTTCTCAAAAGGAAGGGTATACCTGCAATAATTTAGTTCGTTTATAACGTGAGTTTTGGGGGGGGTTACCCCCCCAAAGCACAAGACTCAAGATTAGGATTTGATAGTTATCAAAATAAAAAACATCATTTAACGAGGTTGCCGTGCACCTCGCACTGAGCTTTCAGTCTATGAGCCATTATGAGCCGCGCACAAAGGATGCGCTTGTAAGCAAACCCCAAGGACAACTAAAATGTACTATTTGCTCTAAGCTCGCAGCTTCGGTCTTTCCTATACATTATACATTATTCTACATACTTAACAAGAACTAACCACTAGGCTCCATCCATCATGGTACCTCCTTCACCGACAAAAGGGTAACGTGCATGTACGCCATGATATGGTGCGTACCCCAAAAATCCTTCCCAAAGTGACTATTCTCGTGCACCCCCCTCCTAGGTTTGCATGGCCGTTTTTCGATGCTTCTCTTGCAAAGAGAGAGACATATTTACCGTCACAACCCTACAAAACCGGACGCTTGGTATAAACAGTCTAACGGTGGAAGCCAATCAAGTTTTTACGGACACCTGGCTAGGGCGTAATTGGAGTTCCCCCACAACAATATCATAGTTATTGAACGCCATCACGCGAGCGATTTCCATGGACCGCCAATCGCCTATTGCCTTCGAAAACATGAGTGTATAAGCGAATCTAATATTGACAAAGGGCCGAACGACTCGTCACAGGGGTATCGAGTCTGATAAGGCTCGCTCATTAGGTTGACAAGTGCAACACGTGCAACGTGTTAGAAGAACGGCGTACATCATACGTTGCGCCTTCGAATATCCGGACCATAGGACGACGTGAGTGCGCACACGATGACGCGACATGATTGCGCCCACGATGACGCGTCATGATTGCGCCAAAAATAACGCCATAGGAAAGGCTTAGAGGTAACTCGGAATAGCGAACTAAGGACCTCAATATACTCACTTCGTCCTTTTTAACAGGTTATGAGCCCAAGTGACTCCGACGACGCGCCAAGCGCACCGACCCCAATCAGCTTCGACGCCGGTCACGACAGGGCCACT